ATTTCCTATATCATATCTTTTCTTTTCTAAAAATAAAATTTGATTTTGTTTATGTCCTATGAGATTGATTTATTTCCTCAGGATAGGTTGACCTCTCGTTCCAAACCTCCAAGCTACATGGCCAGGAGTTTGCATTATAGTAATTCTTCAATTTTTTAACCTTCATTTTTACCTTTTAAATACCAGGAAATCAAAACATATTGTGACAGCTAATTTCACACTGGGATTTGACGGAAAATGCCAGGTGATGTGCCCTTGGATAGTAGGTGGTGGCAACAGAACTTGTCAAGCCACCACTCCAAGGCAAGAGATGAGACCAGGGGGCTTCTGGGACAGTTGGTTTGAGACCGTCAGCATTTCATACAAGAGGCTCAGCTGTTTTGCTACAGTAAGATAAGCATCTAGAAATTAATTAAAATGATTTTGGAAAGGCATTGACATTCAAGATGTCGATCTCAAATTAATTATCCTTTAGCAAAGGTTCAAACAGCTTGGACAGCTTTTTTTTTTTCCTGATTTGAACTATCAATGTTGCTCTGAAATTTGCTGATTTCAAGCCCTGTTTAAAATAACATCAACAAATTGTTACCTAATATTTTCACTCTTATATAATACTATTTGAAATGTTTGAAAATGTGTTGATCTTTATTTCTTGAAAGTCATTTGTGAACACTTTGCAGATGTTAGCTTGATAGGCTGTCTTTCTTTCAATGTTTGACAAATTCAAATGAACCCAGTATCCCTGCATAGCAGACACAGTTAGTGGGTTTGTTTATCTAGCTGTTTTTTTCTCCCTCCCTTCCAATACTACTTCAGGGATAATTTATGATTGCTTAAGCTTATTCTGCCTTTAGTCTGAAATATATTCTGTTTACAACTTTATTATTTAGCCTTCGGGGAGAAATCTAACAGTTAATTTTGAGAAGTGTCTTTCAAGAAAATACCAGCTTTGCAAGCACATTTGGCAGTCTTTTTTTCCCCCTTCAATTTACAGATCCCATCTGTAATAATTTATTTGTACTAAAAAGAACAGCATTAGTTTTAACAATTTTATTCCCTTAAAGACAAGAAAGATTGTGGCTTCTAGTCTACTTACAAAACTTGGCTATTTTCCAAAAAAATTTTTAAATGCTACTTTTCTGTTTAACAGATGTGTGGGTTGGTAGTGTTTAATGAATAAGGTAAATAAATGACCATTCTGAGGTTTCAGAATTCTTTTAAGAAAGATATGATTATTTAGTATATTTGCTTTCCATTAATTCAGCAATGAGATATTAATATACTTTTACATTCCTCAATGGCTTATCTAAGACTGTAGGAATGAGGAATTGCTATCCTAGTAAAATAGGATTTTGCTCACTAATACCTTTTGATCTACAGAAAATCAGGGTTATAGAACCAACATCCAGCCTAATCAGATTAGTTAGGTTTTCCCATTGTGCCATCTTGCTGATTTTATCATTCTTCTTCTCTGCCTCCAGGAGAGGCAGTACTGGACCAGATGGATCAATAATGCAACTTGTTGTAAGACAGTTTCACATGAACTATTTTAATGATATAAGCCCCTTTCAGCATCTGTGAAATGATAACTGAGGTCCCAAACAAGATAATCAGGGTACTAGTATATTCACAGAAATTTCCTTTGGAACCCACCATGCTTCTTCCTCCACTGGCTTTTTACAGATTTAAAAAGATTTTTTTTTAAAAAAATGGGTTAGCTGGCATGTTGCAAAGCAGAGTTCCAACCTCCTGCACTATCTTTATTTTCATTAATGCCTTTAGGTCCCAAATGGAGCCCACTTGCTTTCTTTAAAAATAAAAATGATATTGTCTGCTAGTTTGTTTTGCCCATCTGCCCAGAAAAAGTGTAAAGGTGTATAGTAAAAGTAAAAAGGTAAAAGACCATCCTGGAAGAGGGAGTGGGACTAGAGATGGTGGGAAGCAGCATTTTGTTAGTGCCCACCTCCATCTGCCATTTTTCATAGCGCCTGCCCTATGGAACAGCCTATCCCCTGCACAGATCTGAAGGGCCCCTACCATCCAGAAGGCCATTAAGACCTGACTGTTCTCCCTGGAATTGGGCCAGGATGGGAGTTGAGCCCAGCATGTGTATATTTGGGATAGAAATGTTATGGTGCCCTGTTTGTGTTAAATGGTTTATTTTTTTGTGTTTTGTTATTTTTGTATGTTGTGAACCACCCAGAGTTATGTTGTATAAGATGGACAGCCCTAAACATCTTTTAAATAAATAAATGCACTTCACAGAAAGATATACTAAGGGGCAGAGATAAGAAAGAACTAAATGATCAGAAACAAATACAAAATAAATGCAAGTAATATATTGAGCAATCATATATAATGTTTGTTACATGGGTGACACAGGATGACAGAAATCTGAAGCAGAGCCAGATTAGAAGACAAGGTAGCATGAGCATGACACGGCTGTCAGAAAGAAAAGGTTCTGAAACTAATTAAATCAGTATCAACAGTAGTAATTACAAAATTATGTAAAAAAATATGGGATCCCAATGAATGGACAAAAGATTGGAAAATGCCAAATACCACCTAATAGTCCTGATACTACATGCTAGCAAAATTTAGTTGGAAATTATGCAACAGCGAGTGGGCCTAATTATGAAAAGTTAGCTGCCTGAAGTACAGGCTGGTTTTAAAAGAGGAAGAAAGACCATGTTGCAAATCTTTGATGGACCATGCAACAAATGTGAATTTCAAAAGTATGTATATTTATTCTACACCATCTATAGCAAAGCTTTTGTGTTGAACATGAAAAATTATGGAAAAGAAATGGGAGTTCCAGAACTGATTCAGTTAATAAAATAATTATATAACCACCAAAAAACCACTATCAGAATAAATTTTGGAGTCACAGTCCAGATCAAAATTGAAAAAAGTGTGTGGCTAGGCTGTATCCTATCCCTATTTCTATTCAATTTCTATTCAGATGCAGTTTTGAAGATTATTCTCCTGGCAGATAAAGAAGAAGATATAAAGCAGCTTATCTTAAAAGTCAAAGCAAAAAGTGAAAAGGCTAGATTTCAACATCAGTAAGATTAAAGTAATGACAGCAGTTTGAAATGGTGGCATCAAGATAAAAATTGACACAAAAGGAAATTGAATCAGCCCAGGATTTTATCTCCTCTGGTTCCAAAATCGACAAAACAGGAGGCACTGGACCCAGAATTAAATATGGAATATCACTTGGGTACACTGCAATAACTAGCATGGAAAAGATCTGGAGAAGAATAGGCAGTATATATTAAAAATCAATATATACCAACTGCAGAAAAGCAAATGCTATTGTTTCATTGCCTGTGGCTATGAAAGTTGGACAATAAAAAAGAAAAGTAGACTCCTTCAGATTATGAGTTTGGAGACAGCTATTGCATATACCCTGAAAAGCAAAAATAACAAAAGAGGAGAGTTTAGATTGCATCAAGCCAGAAATCCTACTGCAAACTAAGATTACTAAGCTAAGATTGCCTTCTTTAGGTCATGTCCCCAGTTTCTGGGAAATAGGATAAAGATGCCCTTGAGTGAAGCCCAACCTTTGGTGACTACTTCTATACAGTTCTATTTTATTTTATTCCATACAGTTTTATCTTATTATTAAAAGAGATTTACTACTGCCTTCTTTTACGATGCTTTTTCAACTTTACAGTTTGATCAGCGGCCCCCCAATTTCCCAGATAGTCTACCATCAAATACTAACCAGGCCTAATCCTACTTAACATTTAAAATCAGCTAGGTGTCAACAAGGTCTAGTGTAGATAAGTATTGAAGTCTAAATTGGGTTGGTGTTAGTTGAAAGTAGTTGGGGTGAAAGGCTAGAAACCAGGAGACTATGAGTTCTAGCCCTACCTTAGGCACGAAGCCAACTGGGTGACCTTGGGCCAGTCATTCTCTCTCAACCCTAGGAAAGAGGCAATGTCAAACCACATCTTGCCAAGAAAACTGCAGGGACTTATCCAAGCAGTTGATACTGACTCGAAGCGGGGGAAAATGAAACTAACCTAGACAAGATGTGTTACTCTGGATTCCTACAGGTTCTTTAAAGATGCAGTTTAAGAAGAAACTTCAGTTGGTCTAAAATGTAGCAGGAAAAATATTTCTTCAGAATGTCTATTAGTTTATATTTGCCAATTTTGTTCCTTCTGTTTCTTGCTTGTTTCAGAGATCAGTTTAAAAAGCTGATATTAAAATAGACCGATTAAATGTTGGTCCATTTAAAGTCTTAAGTTGTATGAAAAATGACTTTCTTCATATGGACCAGCCCAAATCCTAAATTTCTATACCACTACCATTGAAAGTATAATGAGCGGGGAAAAGGAATGTTCTCTTTCCAATGGAAGTGGCAAACTGAAATGTTCACAGATCAATTGGGCATCTCGTGATGTAAGGTAGATTTTGGAATTGGCAATCATTCCTGTTTCATCTTCAAATGTCTTTATGATAATTTTAGTTTAATTTTACTTTTTGTGTTTAATGCTACTATTTACTTTTTTGTTTACTATTACTATTCTTGTCTTTTTAAGGTAAGTTTTATTCTATTGTATTGGTTATTGTTTACTGTTGGTATGCTTTATGAGTAGCACTTGCAAAAAAAAGTGGGATATAATTGTACATAACTGATTTCTCAAAAGCTACCTATTTCTTTTTCTTCCCCCTTTGTATATGAGTTTGGGGAACAGCTCTGCTCAGTTTCATTGCAAAGTAAACATTAAGTTCTCATAATTGAAAGTGATAACTTTTCAGAGTGGCTAAGGTTTAGGTGACATGTTAACACCGATTAAAAGTCAATAGTCCAACTTCCCAATAGAAACATCAAACAGATGTTGGTGAATCCTGTGGTAATAAGCTCAAAATCATTTCGTCCTCTGATAAGAAAATTTATAAGGAAAAAAGCAAGCATAATATGAGAAATAGTGCAGGATAAAATAAGATGACAACTATTAAAATATTTTATTTCAAATTTGGTTTAGAAAAGCAGAGAGAGTCCTGAAGACGTTTCATCAAGGAGAAAAAATGTGAAGAAGGATCATTTAGCAAGTAAAACCAGCAGGCCTTCTCTTCTTTATATTACACATCCAGTACACCAGAAGCAGAAGGGGATCCACCAGATAGACTCAATTACCTTCCTGCTTGGAAAGACACCTAGACAAATCCGCAGGTGAGATTACAATGCTGGGTTGTAAAGTTTTAAGTGACCTCAGATTTTCTGAGTTCTGTTTAAATTGTATTGAACAAGATTTTATTCCTGTTCAAGTTTTATTTGGAATCATCACTCATTATATTTTGCAAAGTGTTTAGAAATATTTGTCGTTACAATTATAGCTTTTTGCAAAATAATGCAAGCACCACCAATAGTTTATATCGCTTAATTTCTGGTGATCTTGCTTAACATGCAGGTGCATCCTGAAATTATTCTGTAATAGTTTAGTGTAACAGAATTTTGTCTTTATTGAAACGAATTTAATGTTGATGTTTGGAATTGAAAAATTTTAGAGATTCCTTTATTCCCTCACACATTGTTAATAATATGAATTTATGGCTGTGGCATTGTTTAGTATCCCTTCTCCATTGGTAATAGCTGCAAAGTCTTCTACCAGCAGTATGTAGGAAAAATTCCAGAGATTGAGCTGAGTGAAAAGCCTGCGCTCTAACCCTGAGCAATCGCAGTATAGATATTTAATTATAGCATTTGATCTACCTTTTGGAAAGTGACTGTTGAGAGAAGGCTAGGAAATGGAACACCTCTATTTCATTTATGCTGACCTCATGTGGATTTGGAAGAAACTTCTTATGAAGTCTGCATTGGCTGAGAATGTTGTAGTTCATTTCAGAATCACTGCATCATAAATTTATTAGCCTGATCACTAATGTCTTCTTTTCCTGAAGTGAATTATTCCCGTCCCATCTGAAAATCTCCAAAATTGTTAGGGTAGAAAACAAAGCAAAGTGGTAGCCTTGGAATACTTTCTTTGATGTGGAGATTTTCATATGGGGCAGATTTAGGTTAATGTCCTCCTGTATGGGGCCTTTGTCATTTCAGAAATACAAGTAAGAAATAGCCTTTAGAGGCTTTGTACCTCTCTTCAGCCTTCCATATTCAGGAATCCAGACTGATGCTAGTCTACATAATTGACGGAGATGTTCTTAGCATTCACTGCAGTCAGTAACCTAGTTAAGGAAACATATAAGCATTTGAGATCATTAGGTCTTAATGACACTTCTGTAATGAAATAAATTTCTTTCTTGAATTGGACCAATTATATTTTAAAAAGCAATTTGTTTTGTGCAAATTAGGGCGCAAATCATACTTTATTTACTATAAAGTAAATATAGGGCACAAACACTACTAAATTTACTATAATAAATTTAGTAAAAGCAGAATTGTTAAAGTTACAATCAGTATAAATGGTAATAAGATAAAGATAGAAACCAGGTGGAGGGGGAAAAGGCATTTTAGCAGGCGCTTTGATATGCTCTGTGAAACAAATTTGCTGCCAGAAGGCTAGTGGTTGAAAAAAAATTGGCTTGTGTTTCCCTGGGAAAAGTTCTGGAGCTTGGGTTTGCAGAAAATTAGGGAGCTTTTTCATGATATTATTTTAATAAGAAGCAAGAGGAAGATTGTATACTGAGAGATGGGTAAATAAGTTTAAACAAATAGCTCTGTGGTATTTTTGTTCAGCCTGTAGGCTCTAACCACAGAACAGGTATTTTTATATTTCCTAAAAAAGTCTCCCTCCATCTCTCCCCAGTCATTGTTTGAAAGCTGGTTAAAGTTTTGAAATAAGGAAGAAAACTTTTTTCCCCCTCATCTCTTTGACAATTGCAGATCCATATATCATTATTTTTCAGGGCCTGAAAATTTCTGTTCATCATAAGAAAGTTAGTAAAAAAATTCTGCACCAGTTCAAATGCAGCCCCAAACCTCAGCGATCTCACGGCATCACAAAATTTCCCTTGTCGGCCAATTCATGGTATGGTTCTAGCATTTTGCCTAAAACTGATACAGATTTTGGCAGCGTTTACTTACCTACTTGCCAAATCCATTTAGAGTTGTTTTAGGTAATTTGCACAAACATTAGTTTAAATTCCAAACACCAATCTCTAAAGTATAAGCAGTGGCCCAACCCATTTCATTTTTTGTTTTTATTTAAGCAAAATTCCAAAACAATATTTGCTGATTCTAAATTTCAAAGAATGATTTTAAAATTCATCATTTAGTAGCCATTCACACACCTTGGTTTAACACTTAGCATTGCATCTGAATTCTCTATATGATTTTTTTTTATTTTTGGACCAGTCAAGAGAAGTCTTTCCCTTACCTGTTTAATATTAATATCTTTCACTTGACTAGTCTCATAAGTGGAATGATAAAATCACTGAATGATAAATCAAGGAATTCAGACCGTGTTGTTAACTGTATCTCAACCTTTCTCTCTTCCAAAACAACTCACTGACCTAGATATAGTCATAACATCAGCCTATTTACTTTGAGACTATTTTCACTACCCAGTCCTAACCTAGTTTTGAAAGAAGTGTCATTGATTAACCTTGATAATGGTTATCTGGTTTCCCTGCTTTTTGAACGAATTAACTTTTCTTTTCATCAATTGTTGCAGGAAGCAGTTTGGGGAGATGGCAAATCTTTTTCATAAAGCTCCTGTGGAAGAATTTGCAAAGTACATCACTCAAGCTACATCAGAAGAAAGGCAGAAAATGTTGAAAGAATTTTACAGTGCAAAATATCCAGAGTTAAAAGATCTATTAAAAGTTGATGTCCCAGCTTCTGTTTCAAAAGGAAGTAAGAAAGGCAGTGTGTATAAAACCAAGTTCAGGAAAAAAAACTCCATTTGTAACCATGGGCAACTGAAGCCTGATCCTTCCACAGATCTGGGTGATCCAGGTACATCTGATGCAGAAGAAAAACAATTTCAGTATAAGCTTTCTGTACAGACTGCTGGGGGTCAAAATGAGGAAGATAAACAATTGCCGGTTGACACTCTCAAAGACAGCATTAGTGGGAGAAACAGTCAGGCATCCAAAGACTTTATGGCATCTGAGTCACTAATCAGTAAATCAAGAATAATTGAGAGGCTGTCTGCAAGTAGTACTAAAGGACAGCCGAATTTGAAGGGGACACTGTCGCCCAAAAAACTCTTTATGTCTGAGTCAGAAAGCAGACAGGCTCAAATCTGCAAGAAAAATGCTGTTGCAGACTTGCTAGGAGACACCTCTATTTTAAATGACCTCTTCAAAAGTAATGAAAATAGTCCAGCCGAGATACCCAGGAGGCCTCTTAATGGGCCTGCCGAAAAAGCAGCAACCCGACCAAAAGATTTCTGGGACATGCTGAATGAAGAGAATGAGGAGTGTCTCCAAAGACTCACAGATGTGACAGCCATAGAGAAACTGTGTGAAAGAGTGCCTTTTGCTTCTTTGTCCAAAGAGAAAGAAGAGGGTGAGAAATCGCTTTGGAAGGAAAATGACAGTTTTTTATGGAAAATAGATAAGAAACCTGACACAGCTGATGAATCTTTTTCTGGTATATAATGTGGAATTTAAATATTGGGAAAACAAGACAAAAATGTTCACAGGTGTCCTGAAGTTAAGTTTTATTCCCAGAACTGACTTAATGCATTTAATTAATTTAACTTAATTAAATAACTTAATTAATTTCAAGCTTTTTTTAACTTTTTCTTTTTCAAGGATCCCTTCCTTTCAGAAATCTTTCAAAAGAAGATGTATTTACTTATTTTTGAGCCATTTTCTATCTGTTTTGAGGAAGTTGCAAGAAAGAAAAAGAAAAATATTTAAAAAGAATTGAAGAAGCTCCAAAGACATTGAGTGAGGGCATTTCCCCCCCTGTTTTTTGTTTTTTGCATGTGAGCTGGATCAAGTCGATCTGATTTGAAAAGGCAGTTCAATGAACACCCTTTCTGCACATTTGCAGAAAGTGAGTGAATCCCTGGATCAGTTTGAAGGGAATCAATTTCATTTGATTCAAATTGGCAATCCAGTTTCAAAAGTTTATTCTACTTGGAGATTGTACCAAATTGTCTTGTAATTAAGTCTCCACATTGAAATTTTCCCTTGTCTACAAAGTATTAACCTTCCCTGTATGAAAAAGCAGCATCATGAGCAGGCTAAGCAGAATCTCATTTTCTTTGCATGCAAGCTCTGAGGTCGCCCACATTCCTCCCTTTGTACTTGGTTAAGTTACGTGTATTTTGATCATGTATTTAGTGTGGTCAGGACACAACATGAAGAGCAGATATTATAATCTCATGCAATGAGAAACTATATTCTTTTAAATTTGTCATGCTCTGTTGATCTTTGGACCGTAGGGGTTTCTGTTACATTTCTGAAGTTGTCTGCTGCAGTTGAAAATTAGATTGGAACTGCATTGAAAACAATATAGGATGTGTTTGGACTTGAAAATAAAAGCAAAGTTATCTGTAAATACCTGGGAACCAGTGGTTATATATCAACTGAATCTTACTTAGAATAGATTCATCAAAATAATGGGACTTTTACATTTAAATCTGAGCATTGTTAAGTTTGGATACAACTCAAAATGTTTTGAAAGTACTCAGTGAATAATAGGAGATAGTTGTACCCTACAACTCTGAGAATATTTGGATAGACAGAAATTCCACTGCAGTGACTTTCATAGCAGTACAGGGCTGCAGTGCATGAATTACTATTTTTATCTGCTTAAAACTAAAAATTACCAATGTATGAAAGTACAAAGATGGTAACTAGACCCTTGTCACCTTTTATGAAAAAATTGAAGTGTTGTGTTTTAATCAAATTAATTTAAAAGACCTCTTTAAAAAATAAAGTATTTTAATATCTGAAAGGAATAACTATTATTTATGTGAGGGATATCTTCTTGAGCCCATAAGAAATCTGGATGTTAGAGTTTAAAGCATCTTTAAAAGACAAATCTGTCATAAAGTTCTACTATTCATCAAATTTTTATTATTTGAAATATTTGGTAACAGTATGCTTCAATGTCTCATTGAAGTAAATGAAAATCTCTCAGCAACCTTTGCTCAGTGGAGTTCATCCTTTTACCACAATACAGAATTTTTACAAATCAGCAAAAGTCACATTATGACATTGGCTATTTTACTTGTGTGTAAAGTATTTTAAATTTACTTTAAAAATTGCATAACTGCATTTCACCATAGCTGGTACCTGAATTGCCAGGTGGTTGTGACAGGTAAATAAAAGATGATTAGGAAACTTTAACTTGGATAACATTGTTGTAAATCATCTGTTTGAAAATAAAAATATTTCTTGCTTAAAGCCTTTTAAAGTGTAATTGTGTGTCCCCATGAAGTCTGTAAAATGTTTGATTCTTGCATGGTTATTCTTCCACACTATATGATAAAACTGTTTAAAAATATCACTTTTTGCCATTTATAGGCATATAGTCTTCCTTGGGGGAAATAAATTGCACTAAGCTATATACGCATTGAGAGAAGATACATTAAAATACATTGGAATCATCAAATCATATAACTACATCAGGGACTGGCAGCCTAGAGACAACTCTGCATGAGATCTTGCAGATTGCTAAAATCTCTGTGGGAAGAAGTTGAAAGCAGCCTTTGTGTGGGATTGCATGAAGGCACCCAGAACTTCAGGTTGATGAAGTTCAAGATTGGTGATCCCTGGAATACATTCAAAGCTTCCATGTGGAAGATGTGCATGCTAGTTATTTTACTCCCCTAATACTGTGTATGTATATAAGTACATATACATTATATGTAAATATAGTTTGTGTCTCCTTAATTCTGTGGCACAAATAGATTGGTAAATGAAATACAATATACATTACTTGACTCATGAAAATAAATTAATGACACATGGGGAAAAAGTGGAAATTGGGACCAAATTGCTAGAGCACCCCCAATTTTGCAAGTGCCCACCCCAGTTTTTCAGCTGCCATTTCAGGTCTGGAAGAGAAAAGATGCCCAGGGCATGATAACTTACCCAATCATTCAATTTGGGTGCAAAGCATGGTTGAGGGGCCTTAATCACATTTTGTCAAAGGTTCTGTGTTCAAATGGCGCAGTAAATTAAATGGCCTACTATGCAGATGAATGTAGCCCTGTTGTTGGCTGAAGATATAAAGCTCATCAGTACCCAGTCCTCTGAGTAAAGTTCAGTATGAACACAACTCATATCTTTCTATGACACAGAATCTGTTTCACTTTGCCCAGCTTCTGTAGCAGAAAGCTGAATAGACAAAGATGTTCCTTGAAACCAGGAAACTGGCAAACCAATGAGCTATCAAACCTCTAACCTTCCATCATTTTTGAATAACAGAGGAAGAATAATAACCCAACCAACGTGTTTATAAGTTCATATACTACACAAATTTATCTGAGACTACCATCTTATACCCAAGGTATTGTTTGTAATACATTTGCCTAGTTAGAAATAACTGTATTTGACTGATTATGGTATTAAGTGCCACAATGCCCTATTTACTTCAATATTCATTGTGCAGCATAGATCTTAATGGACCGTGTCATGGAAAGACTTCCCTAATGCATAGTTTCTTGAAAGGAAACTGTTTTGATTTATATGGCTCCTGAATGTTTGGCAATTTCAGATTTAATGCTATATTAATACAGGGATTTGTGTGTGTTCTTGTCTTTGAGTTATTTTATGCTAGGGGAAGTTGTTCTGATCCCTGGACATGAAGCTGAACACAACAATACTGTATGAGATTTGCAGTGGATTTTGTGGTCTGGATGAGTGCCCAATTGAAAATATGCTTCAATTTGATCTGTAGCAGATTCTCTTCCAGGTCCTGGGAAGATTTCCTTTTGTCTCTTCATTAACCAGGATGCATTTAAGTTTGCTAAAAATGGAAGAGGTTTAATCCAGGGAAATATTTTCCATATAGTTCAGCCATACCAGGAATTGGGTATATATACTATATATGTAATGAGAAGAAAGCCGTGATGGAGCACTGTTTCTCTGCACAAACGTATTTGCATTTGCTGCATGTAGTAAAATTCATGTGGGACTTAGGTTATTTCCTCATTGGGAGTGAATCGTGACTGGACATGTCTTTGTATATGGTTGCCATTAAATATAGTCAGGCCCGGTGACCCAACTTTACCTTCTCCTTCATAGGAAGGAGAGGATGAGGAGAGAACAAGGGTTCATGGGGACAAGTCTGCCACTGTTACCCCATGGTACGTATAATCACATGCCTATGTTGCTCTGGCCCAGTAGTCTGGCTTAACATGAATAACTTCTGCTGTGTCAATCAAGCTGAAAGAAAAATAGCACTTATGAGGATTAATTCACACTTCCAACTGCTGTTACAACTACTAATTAGTATTTCATTAGAGCAGAGGCTTTTAGCCCTGGCTTATGGCCAGCCAGTAGAAATTATCCTATCCTACCTATGAATTATTCAGAGTGATGGTTTATTTAGGCCTTTGCTGGAAACCCAGTTGGGATTCCTAGCCTCCCAGAAGAGAAAGTAGATAATTAGAGCAAATGGCATCAAGGTTGTTTTATGTGCTAGGGATATTTGTAGAGGTTAAAAAAAAGAAAATAAATCCATATATTGAAATGAAAATTATATGTACGCAGTCATTTTTCTGACACTTATAGCCAGTTTTTGGCAGCTTAAAGGTAGACTACATGGCTCTCCCCTTGCTGCTCCAATTTATCTTCACATGGTTTGGGTTTAAAGGTAGATTAGCCAAAAAAATAGCAATGAGCCATAAACTACCTAATAAGCTACATGGCTGAGTGGGATTCGAATCTGGGTTTCCCCAGTCATCCAACTGCATATACAGTGTATGCTATAGACTGGATGGATAAGATATATTTTTAAACCCAACTAATTTCTTCTCCAAGTTAGAAGAGTCATTATCACCATGAATAACATTAAGATGGGCTATTTGAAGTTACCGTATTTTTCCGACTATAAGACGATACTTTTTTCTAAAATCCTTACCCTAAAAACTGAAGGGTGTCTTATTCAAGGAAGTCAGCCGAGAATCGCGGTTGCAAAACTGTCAAACTTTGTTTCTGCAGAGAGGCTTCTTCCTATTGCTAGCCCCCAATCCCGAGTGAAATAGCC